GTGTGTGTGTGTGTGTGTGTGTGTGTGTGTGTGTGTGTGTGTGTGTGTGTGTGTGTGTGTGTGTGTGTGTGTGTGTGTGTGTGTGTGTAATACATGTAATATAAAATAATATAATATATAATATAAAATTGAGAAAGAAAACTATAAAGAATATTTTGCATATTATTTTTATCTCCTTTTAATATTTATTATAATATTATGTTATGAATATTATATGTTACAGATTAGATTTCTAAAATGTTCGCCACAGCGATGCTACTGGCAATAATCGTACTGTTATTGCTATATTTAAGCTGTCAAAAACCAAAAGGATACCCACCAGGTAAAAGTCGAGTCTTGTTAAAAATCCTTTCATTCTTGTTATTTTATACAACAAATATTTTTTATTATCTTCAGGTCCAAGATGGTGGCCTATTCTGGGTTGTGCATTGGAAGTAGCACGTATCCGTCAAGAGACTGGATATCTCTTCAAGACTTGTTCGACACTTTGCAAGAAATACGGTCCTGTAGTGGGTCTGAAGATCGGCCAGGATCGCATCGTCATTATGAATGATCTAGAGAGCATACGAGCAATGCTGACTAACAAGAATTGTGACGGCAGACCAAACGGACCATTTTATAAAGCCAGAACTTGGGGTGTCATACTGGGTAAATTATCTGTTCAGAAAACAAATAAGATATATGTTGAATTTTGAGAGATAATTATATAATAACTTGTAATCAGGTCTCCTCGTAGTAGATGATAAACTATGGGTGGAACAACGACGTTTCGTCATACGACATTTGCGAGATTTTGGCTTTGGTCGTACTAGCATGCTCACAATCATCGAGGATGAGGCATTAAAGCTGGTAGAACATTTCAAGGAAATGCTTAAAAACCGCTATAATTATGAAACTGCTGATGCACGAAAAATGACAACGATAAATAATAACAATATTGGTCAGATATATAAATTGCAGAAAGATCCAAAAAACAAACTGAATGAATTGAAGCTATATGACGAATTTCATATATTCAAGGATAAAATCTCTAATCGTAAACCTCGTACAGTGGCAGACTTGTATATGAAAGCCGAAGCATATGCGGAAGTCAGAAAAGTCTCCCAATCTGCAGGAATGATCATATCGATGCACGACGCCTTTGGTGTAACTGTATTGAATACTCTTTGGAGGATGATGGCTGGTAGAAGGTTCACATCGATCATGTGGATTATTCCTATCCTTCCGCTAGTTAAGATCTAAAGAACATATAAAGAATTTATTATTAACGCTGATAATTTCTGTTTTTTACAGGTATGATGCTGGCGACAAGGAACTTACGCACTTACAACGAATCCTCACAAAGCTTTTGAATGAAATCGATATGATCGGCGCGCCTTTCGGTCACTTTCCATTGCTACGTTTTATCGCGCCGGAAATGTCCGGTTATAAAGCATTTGTAGAAACACATCAGGAACTTTGGGCATTTTTAAAAGTGAGTAGACATGTATTATTCGATGTATCATTAGATCATTTTACAAACAAGTGTCTGGATGTTCGAAGATAATTATCGAATAAGAATATAAAAGAGAGCTACGAGCCTAAAAACGAATACTTTTAATTTAGATAGTTAAAGCATATAAACAAAAACAGACATTTTGTCATTTTCAATGTAATAACAAAAAATCGATTATAAAATTTCTCTTAACAATAATTTAAATATATTATAATTTAAATATATATTAGGTGTACAATTTTGTTTCCGCCGTTTTCCTATAGATAGCTTTAGCGGTAAGTGGTGGTCGAAATAAATAGATCATAGACGTCATACAATAAACTTGGGCATCTGTCAACATAATCCCATAGAAACATTAGTCGATTTGTGTCTGCATCATAAAGTTATTCTCGATTGAAAATGTCATTTTAGGAGCTAAATTCTCGTCATTTGCGGGAGGTTTTAATTTTTTGCTTCAATATAAAGAACTCTGCGGTTGAGGCTCATCGAATGCTCTCAAATACTTATGGTGAGGCCGCTGTTAGTGAAAGAACGTGTCGTGAATGGTTTCAACGCTTCAAGAACAGTGATTTTGACGTCCAAGGTTATGCTCTGTGGGACCAGCTCGGCGTGGTGTATTATGAACTGTTAAAATCGACTGAAACAATCACAGGCGATCGGTATCGAATGCAATTGATGCGTTTGAGTCGAGCATTGAAAGACAAACGGCCGCAATACAACGAGAGATACGATAAAATGATTTTGCAGCATGACAATGCTCGATCCCATGTTGCGAAAGTGGTCAAGACATACTTGGAAACGTTGAAATGGGAAGTCCTACCCCACCCGCCGTATTCTCCAGACGTTGCTCCCTCTGACTATCACTTGTTTCGATCAATGGCACACGGCCTGGCTGACCAGCACTTCCGGTCTTATGAAGAAATAAAAAATTGGATCGATTCGTGGATAGCCTCAAAAGATGACCAGTTTTTTCGACGCGGGATTCGTACGCTACCCGAAAGATGGGAGGAAGTAGTAG